AATGAATTACCATACCGACTTAGAAGAGAAAATATTTTGCTTTGTGGATTATGGTTTTATAAGAAAAAACCACCAATGGATTTGTTCTTGCGTCCATTCATAGATGAACTTTTGGAATTACAAACCAACGGGTTTTGGTGTGCCACACTTGAACACAAAGAACCTATACACATAAAAGTTTATGCACTTCTCGCAAGTGTAGATACAGTAGCTAGACCACTTATTCAAAACATAAAACAATTTAATGGTATATATGGATGTTCCTATTGTCTCCATAAAGGGGAACAAATTTCAATCAGAAGAGGTCAGATACGTATATATTCTGGTGATAAAAAAGCAATGCGAAGGATGAAGCAGCATTATAAATACGTTGAGAAAGCTATTAATGAAGGAAGACCAATAAAAGGTGTTAAAGGACCTTCAATAGTAATGTTTTTATCTACTTTTCATATTATTCATTCTTTTCCACCAGAATATATGCATTCAGTTTTATTAGGTGTCACAAAATTATTTGGAACATTGTGGTTTGACTCAGCTAATAGTAATAAAGATTGGTATTTAGGTTTAAGAGTGAGTGAATTTAATAATAAATTATTGGCTATACGGCCTCCATGTGAAATTACAAGAACGCCACAATCCATAAAAAATAAAAAATGGAAGGCAAACGAATGGAAATCTTTTTTATTATATTATTCGCTCATTTGCTTGATTGATATAATGCCACGGAAATATGTTAAACATTGGTTACTGTTTGTATATAGCATTTATATATTTTCCAAAACAAAATTTACAGACAATGAGTTTGATAAAGCGGAAAAAGCACTTCATCAATTTGTTTTAAATATCGAGTTACTTTATGGAAAAGAAAACATGAAATATAATGTACATATGATGCTACATATGCCAGACTATGTAAGAAAATACGGTGCTGTATGGGCATGGTCAGCATTTCCATTTGAGCATTTTAATGGTATAATAGCAAAAATGTTTCATGGAAGTCAATACGTGCCATCACAAATTTGTAAAATTTATTCCAGAATAAGATATATAAAAAAAAATTCAGAAATCTTTAGTAAGCCTAATTGTAGTAAAGAAGGAAAAAAATTGTTTAAAAACATTATGAAAGAAACTAAAATTATAAAATGTATAAGATATGGAGATGACTTGAGAATATTTGGAAAACCTGCAGATATAACTTTATCATTGTCTCAAAAATTGTTGGTTGAGCAGTTATTACAAGAAACAATAACAGAAAACGTTAAGTTATTTTATAGATTTTCTTATAAAAATACTTTTTATCATAGTTACAAATATTCTCGTCTTATTAAAAGAAACAATAGCACAGTGATATTACATAATGGAAAATTAATGCTAATTTCAGGTCTAATTTTAATTAATATACTAGAAACAACACACTATATTGTCCTTGGTAAAAAATTTCAAATATTAGACGAAGAACTTTGTAAGCACAAAGGTATATCAACGAAAATGTTTTCATTTATAGCACGAGAAACAAATAATGATATTATTTGTTTTCCTTCAGACTTTGATAAAAAGTGTTGTAGTATATTTTATAAAGAAGATAAATTATATATTGTGCCTTTGGTAAATACTGTAGAAATTGATTAATCAATATTTTTATTATTTTAATCATAAGTGTGAAATTCTTTATAAGTTTAAATTTATATATTCTTGTATGTGTTTAATATAAATAATATTGTATTGTAAACATAAATAGTAGAACTATTTATTTTTTAAATATCATAAATTGTATTACAACTTATCATTTTGTCTGTGATAAATCGAGAATTGACTGATAATACTGTTATGTTTCAAGATGTTTTATATTATATTATTACACATGCATTGTAATAATATTTGTGAAATACAAATATATTAAATCTGATTACAGTCTCATTTCTTTGTCACTGAAATAGATAATTAAATTTTGCTCGAATAATTCATAAATAGTTTTGTTACAATTGTTCAATAGTTCTTGACGAAAATACTACAGGGAATGACACTATACTTCACGAATAGGTTTACAATAGTTTTTTAATAGTGTTGCAATACGCACACAATAGTATTCCCGTATTTTTCAATAGTGTTTAAATAGTTTTTCTATATTGCTCTCAGTAGTTTTCCAGTATTTTTCTTTATAGTTTCCTTATAATATTTTTTCATACGGGGACGTCGAAATATCGAATGATCTGGATGTTTTTTTTTTTTCAGATAGTTTTGTACCTCTAGTGCGATATGATCCTAAGATTATACTACGTACGCGTAAGTTACATCCTTTTGAATTTGTAAAGTTTGCGCTACATTAATGGCAGTCTATTCCATAAGCCACGCTCTCTGAAATAAGAAATTTGTGCAATCTTAATTTTATATTATATTTCGATATAAAGTTAAATAGTTTCTCGCGATAATATCTTTCGGTTAAATAGCAATCAATTCTTCTGAAAAATTTACATATTAAAACTGTGCAAGAACATAATCTATAAAGATGTTAGCACTATAAGATATATTAAGAATCTTACCGTGGAGAATGTGCAAGCAAGCTTTTTAGCTCATCATTGTAAAAAGAAAATTGGGAGAATTTTTGATTATAATAAAATACTTCTTCATAATTATGTATGACTAAATAATGATCATATATAGGAATTATAATATATGTTCAAAATTCACACAACTATCGATTGATACTTTGTGACAATGCATATATCTCATTTGTGACACGTATTTTCGGAATTGTCTTGTATATCTGATACCCAATTCTATAAAGTTCATAATTTGTTTCTTAGATTTGTATTCTTCATGATCTTTAGTCTTAGACAATATGTCACAATATCTTTTAAAAAAGACCATCTAAAATTGAAACAAAAATGATTTAATAAAGTTTTCAAATAATATTAAGAGTTCTTGCAGCATCATTAATCGCGAAATTCAGAGGTATATATTTTTAAAATAATTATAATTTTCTTATTTAATTTTTACATATTATATTCTTTATTTAGGATACTTCACAAATTATTCAGTTAATTGATATAATTTTATAATATTACAATTATATAAAAAGTACTTTTTTTATTTATATTTCATCAATTATACATTTGTATGCTATATTTCTAATTTCTAATTATATTATAGCTATTCATTACAAATAGTAAGAATCTTCTCTCGACCATACTGGCAAATATTATTTATGCAATCACAACGTTTCGACCCTTTTTGAGTCCTTATCATGTGATTTGTAAAAATAAAAATTAAATTATAATTTTAAAATGTCAAGAACGAACATAGTGTCGGTTTGACAACACGTCAAAACTCTCAGACGAGTTATTAGAGTCTGTTTGTTTTAATAAATTAATGTATATTGATTTTGTTATTAAATTTGAAATATAGAAATATATATATATATATATATATATATATTTATAAAATTTATTAAATATCCCGAAAAGTATCATACTTCATTATTTAATTCCATATATGTTAATGATTACGGATTGAAAATGAAAGAAAAGTAATAAATAGATTGGATGACGATTTTCGAATATATATGATTTATAATTATAGAAAATCCATATAAAATCGTTATATTTCTACAAAAAAAATATTATATAGACAACACATACGCGCGCGTCATTGTCCAATTTTTTTTAATTATATTTAATTTTGTTTTTTAACAATAACTGTTAACCAAATGTAACTCACAATGCATATCTAATCGTTGCATCGCCGCAGAACAAAGTACAATATTTACGAGAATCGACTTGATTTGCCTTTTTTAGAAAATGATTATTTCATAGATTCTCTTTATTCTACTCTCTATTTTATTATATTATACTTTTATATTTGTAATTTTATAAATAAATTTTCAAATATTACAATGATGCAATGTTCGAACTATTCATGAAAATTTACAAACAAGAAATTACCATTGAGAAAATTTCTTTTTCATATACTTTGTATAACTGGCTGTGTAACGAAATTGTTTGCAGACGCATCGAAAATTAATGATATTCTCGATGGTGATATCCTTGTAGCCGAGAATGGTGGATATCAATTCCTCTGGTAAGGATATTATCGTTGCCATTATGACAAAAATTTGTTAAAAATCACTATAAAAAATTATATAAACTAAAGTAATTGCAACAAATTATTCGCGAATAATTTAATATAATAACTGGCAGCTTCTAAAGACATTAAATTTTAGACTGCACAACACGTGTTCGAAGTTAACGCTGCGCACGTTGTCCACTCTTTGTCCATTATTTTTCTCAAATATCTATACCTGAGGTGCTAAAGTAGTCCCTTTCGTCCTGCATTATCTTGTGATGTGCCATACGTAAAAGAGAGAAACAAAATAGTGTCCGGTAATTAACGGAGCAATGATTAAGGGCGGATTCTCAGGCCAATTTGGAGACGATTTTTCCTTAGCAAAAATGTTGAAAAGTCAATAATTTTCGAGTTATAAGCAATTGAAAAAAATGGATTTTTTTAAATTCAAACGTTTTGGAGTTAAAAGTCTAACATAATTACATTCTTCAGGTAAAGTTTACTATAATAAAATTTTAATTTGAGGCTTAGTTATATAGATACATAATGACAAATATTGGAAAGTTGTAAAAAATGAACCTTTTTCGACATTTTCGCTGAGGAAAAATCGACCAAAGAATCCACTTGTAATCGTTGGTCCGTTAGTTACCGAACACCCTGTATATTGATGGGAACTCTATTGTGCCACTTTCACAATGAGCCTGTCAGAAGGAAGAAGACAGAGAATCACAGAGAACAGCATTAAATTAACGCGTAAAAGTGCGTAGCGAATATATAAATAAATCATCTTTTAAATTATGCTTCTCTTTAAAGCTTGCACGAAGACATACATTAAATATTCCATAAGATTTTCAATTTTTCAAACAAAATAAAGTAATTTTTATTTTATATATTCTTTACAGAAATACAATTTTTTTATTTTGTGAATTTTTTTTTAATGTATTCCCTGCTACCCTTTTTTCGTGTTAATTTAATATTATTCTGTAATACTCTGTTTTCTTCTGTCTTGAGAGTTTATTGTAAAATAAAAATGGATCAATAGAATTTCCAACGATACATTTTTTTTCTCTTTTCTCTTTTCTTATGGTGTGCATCACGTGACAACGTGCACGACGGGAGGAAGCATTCTTTAGGTTTTCAGGTAGAGAGTTCAGAGAAGAGTGGACAAAGCATGAACAACGTTCGTAGCATTCACATCGAACACGTGTTATGCGTATTGAAATTTTTAATAATTATACGCGAATAATTTGTTGCAGTTACTTCGATTTATATAATTTTCTATAGTGATCTTTCTCGAATTTTTGTCATAATGGCAACGATAACATCCTTACCAGAGGAATTGATACCCATCATTCTCAGCTACAAGGATATCACCATCGAGGATATCAATAATTTCCGATGCGTCTGCCAACAATTTCGTTATGCAGCCAGCTATTCAAAGTATATGGAAAAGAAATTTTCTCAAAGGTAATTTTTTGTTGTTTGTATATTTTACATGCATAGATCAAACATTGCATCATCAGTTTTGTATATTTGAAAGTTTTATCTTAAAAATTACAAATATAAAGAATATAATAAAATACAATATAGAATAAAACAGAATCTATTAAATAATCATTTTCTAAAAGGCAATTCTCGTAAATATTGTACCTTCTTTTTGCGACTATGTGACGATTAGATATGTGTCCCGATTTGCATTGTGAGTTACATTTGCTTAACAATTACTGTTTCAAATCAAAATATGTATGTATTATCTATATGGTATTATTGTGTTGTAGAAATATAACGATTTTCTATAAATATGCATTTTTTATAATTTTGGATTTTATACATTCGAAAATCGTCGTCCAATCTATTTATTACTTTTTTTTCATTTTCAATCCGTAATCATTAACAAATGGAATCAAATAATAAAGTGTGATAATTTTCGGGATATTTAATAAATTTTCGAGATATTAAATATATATTTCGATATATTCAAAATTTAATAAGAAAATCAATATACATATATTAAAACAAATAGTTAGAAAGACTCTAATGAACAATGGCTATTAAGTGAGTTTACTTAAAAAAAATTCTTATTTTATTAAATACTATTCATCTCATAATTTTTCGAATTCAAAAAGTACACACTTTTAGATTATTTTTCTCATTGTAAACAGTCTCCATTGCGTTTAATAAAAACGTTCCACTGGATAATCTTATATATTCAAGAAATAAGGCGATAAAGAGTATTTAAGGTTTTTAGTTGACACATTTAATAAAATCGAACGCGTAAAAAACGCTTTAATGAGAGATAAGACGCAGAAAATGGAATTAACGTGTATAGTTATATATTTAAAATTTTTGCTTTAATTCTTGTCCATTTTAGCTTCTCACACATAACATAATTTTTCTAAATACATTATACAAGAAAATAATATTTTTAAGTAATTAAAAAATTTTATTAAAAACACATGCAAACGGTGGTTTTCCGTCCATTTTCATAACGTAATGAATAAATGTAATATAATATAATTAGAAATTATAATATAGCATACAAGTGTATAATATGATGAAACATAAATAAAAAAGAATACTTTTTATAATTGTGATATTATCAATATAATATATTAATTAACTAAATAAGTTGTAAAATATCCTAAATAAATAAAATATGTAAGAATCAAATAAAAAATTATAATTAATTTAAAAATATATTGCTCTGAATTTTGATTAATGATGCTGCAATAGAACTCTTAATATTATTTGAAAACTTTATTAAATCATTTTTTGTTTCAAATTTAGATGGCCTTTTTTAAAAAAATATGTTGACATATTGTCTATAACTGAAGATCATGAAGAATACAAATCTAAGAAACAAATTATGAACTTTATAGAATTGGGTATCAATTATACGAGACATTTCCGAAAATACGTGTCTCAAATGAAATATATGCATTATCACAATGAATCAATCGATAATTGTGTGCAATTCGCACATATATTTCCTTTTAATCCCTTTGAAAGAAGTAATTCTGAAGAAGACATGTATTGTGATCGAGAATTCTCCATATTTTTTTTTTACAACGATGAGCTTAAAAGCTTGCTTACACATTCTTCACGGTAGGATTCTTAATACATCTTATAGTGCTAAAATCTTTATAAATTATGTTCTTGCACAGTTAATAATATGTAAATTTTTCAGAAGAACTAATTGCGATTTAACCAAAAGATATTATTACGAGAAACTATTTAACTATGTAAAGAATTCTATTATAAAATTAGAGTTGCGTAAATTTTCGACTTTATCTAATAAAGCGCAGCATTTCGAATGGATTGCTTTTAATGTAGTACAAACTTTACAAATCCGAAAGGATGTAACGTACGCTTACGTAGTAGAATCTTTGGATAATATCGCATTAGAGGTACAAAATTATCTGAAAAAAGAGCATCCAGATCATTCGATATTTTCGACGTCCGCTGAAACTTTTTCTTATTGGAAAAACAATAATATAGACGATAATTACTGGAACGAAGCGGAAGGAATTCAGATTATCGATGCATTGGACGAATACATATTTGGCAAATTAAATTTCCGACCGTGCAAAGTAGACGATACAAATCTGGAATACATGTGTATAGATAATGTAAGTTATATAATGTATATTATAACTATATGTGGCGTCAGAAGAAGAAAATCGCCTTGTGAGCATGGCAGTTTAGTTGTTTATATATTAAAAATACTGTCATTCTCTCATTATATTATTGTATTTTCTGGCATAGGTACTAAAAAGTAGATATGGACAACAAATAATTTTATTAATAATATATCAAAGCGTGGCAAGAAGACTTGGTCTACGTTCCGACATTGTGGCATTTGGTGATCGATTTGAACTATCTCACTATATATATTGGAAATCCAGATAGTAAGTAGTATACAATTAAATATGGAATTATCGAAATCTTTTAAAAGATATTTCTACATGTACACAGGTGTGCATAATAGATAAATATATTGTTTGGTTTACAGTGGCACGATTAATCCGAGAAATGAAAGATGTTATAGTTTAATTTTTGGGAAATTCCAAAATTGTCGTGTCAATAAACTACGGTATCGAGAGTGGCTGTATTTTAATCGTAATAATCCTTTACCATCTGAAAGCTTTGGTCGAGTATCACCATGTGAACTGCGATACAAGATACTGCTAAGAGTTGCGGATTTGACATACCACTATAACAATATTTTTCAGATTAGGCAGCGTAATAAAATTTATTCATTTCATACAAGTAACTTTGAAGTATGTATGCACTATACACACCGCATATATTAAAATATGTTATAATAGTAATATAAAATTCTCTCTCCTTTCTCTTTGACACGTACAGTTATATACATATGAATTATAATTATTTATAATTTAACAATAAGAGTAATTAAATATGCTATAAATATATATTTAAGAATTAAATGGCAAGATATATAAATTAAAGTGTAACATTAAATTTTCAGATCAAAGTAATTTCTTTAAAAAGGACAAAGCAATTCATTAGAACAAAAGACGTAAAATTTGCGGTAGGAATGATCGTAACACATCGTGATGATTACAATAATTGCGACGGCGTCATAATCGGATGGGATCGTCATACAGACAGACGTTATGAATTTTTGACACGTAATTTCAATAGCTCCAGATGGCGAAATGATTCAATACAAATAGACTACTTGCCTTTGCATCATTGTGACAATTATCAATTTACAAAGCAGCAAACAAATTATATTATTCTTACCAATGATAATAAAATATGTTACACAAATGAAGGTATGAATACATTATATATCATATTGAATGTGTTTTATTGAAAATTATATATTTTTCTATGAACATGTTATTTCTTATTATAATTCGATTTTTTATTGATTTCACAGTTATTAATTACATTTTATTTATTAACTTGTTTATTATTTATTTTACTTTTCGTACAATGTTTCTTATTTGCATTTTTTAATTTTAGGTAATCTCACTTTAGCAGCGCCGAAATGTATCGATAATTCCGAAATTGGTCGCTATTTTTGTAAATTCGAAAATACGCATTACGTACCAAATGAAATGCTAACGAAACTTTACCCGGAAGACTCCGCTGTAATTACATAGAGGACAAAATCTGCGAATTAATATTATGACTAACATTATGCAATATTTAGAAAAAAAAATTTGAGAAATTTTATATTTTAAGACTAAATATTATAAAGTAGAAACTATGACATTATTATAGTGTAAATTCTGTTACTATATAAAATTTATATAAGCTTTATAAAATCACGCTAATTTACTTTTTTATGTATTATATTATAGATTATAGATTATAGAGCAAGAAAAGCGTGCGCTACGCATGCGCCATTTCTCAATTTTATATTAACTTTTACTCTCTCTCTCTCTCTTTAATACTTTCGAACTTGTCAAAAATACAATTTACCTATAACATTAGTTATATTTTTTTAGTATTAATTTTATTATTCTAAATATCGGTTTAATTTCTTCTAATATTAGTTTTATTTTTTATTATATTAGTATTATAATTCTAATATTATTTATTTTTATGAAAAATGATCTTTTTGTTCTGATTCAGAGTTTAAATAATAATAAGTAATAGATCGTCGGGAAACGACTACTGTGTGTCTTGAATATGCAAACTTATTTGTTTTGCTACCACATGTTCGATAACTCGCCTTGGACTAAATTCCATTTCAGATAAGAGTACAGAATGCAAGGGAAACGTAGGTAGAAGTGCGAGCTCGACAAGTAATAAACTATTTCTTAGATTTTCAGATATACACGTCTTAACTCGTTTAATAATGGCAGTAATAGGTATTTTGTATCAACGAGTTGTTGGTTTTCAGCCATTATAGTTCAGCCTGCAGCTGTATTTCGGAGCTTCCCTCTTTTTCAATGCTGTATAATGATAACTAATCGACTATATTCAATAATATAAACAATAAAATTTCTGTTTTTAAGTTCCAATATACATATTTAATATACATGATTATAAAAAAATTAATTGACATAATCTACAGCAGTTAAGTATACATATATAATAAAATATTATCTATACTATTATTCTATCCTGCTATTTATATACAATTTTAATAGGTTAAAATAAAGCGATACAAAAGCGATTGAGATAATTTTTATTAAATTAGATTTAATTTTTATTTTCCAATATAAAAGACATCTTCAAAATATCGACAATAAGAATATTATACATAATTTATACATACTACATACTTGATATATTTTTTTATGTAGAAATTGTGGCAAAGTTTTTCTCCGATTTTTAAAAAGGTAAGTTTATTTCCAAAGTATTTCTAGTTTCTATTGTTTATTTTACAACTGTCAAATTGTTTATCTTTGCAATAACAGTTGCTTGATGCTATAAATTTAATTTGTCGAATTTATATTATTATACATAATTTTAATTCGCCGAGTTTCTATTATATACATCATTTTAATTCGCTGAATTTCTATTATGCAAATAATTTTAATTTGTCGAATTTATATTATGTACATAATTTTAATTTGCCGAATTTCTATTTGTATTGTTTCAGAACTATTTTGTATAAATGTATCTTTTTATATATTTTTTTTTCATTTTGTTTAGTTTAATCAAATATAATTACGTGCGCAAAACGAAGATATATTATTCTTTAATAATAATACCTTACAAATTGCAACGCATGTATAAAATGATTATTGCAATGCAGGCATAGAAATATATTTATTAATCATGTGATTCATACTATACTGACAATGAGTAATTCAAATTCTTTACTGTAGTATGCGATCTAACCATCATTTCACTCTGGGTGTGTAATGTACACAACTTATACGTTCCTCTAGTCTCAAACTAAAATATTAAAATTCAATTTTTAACTAGTTTACACTGATATTATTAAAATTAAATAATAATTTATCAAAATTGTTTATATGCAATATTTACCAAAAATGAGTTTCAATTTGTATGTTTTCTACTACGAAAATAAACAGTTTATAATTTTGTTTTATTTCTTATTATATATATTTTGAACGACATTACATTTTATATAATTTTACATCGCGTATTAATTATTTATGTCCATATAAATTATTTTAGTATGTAAAATGTTTTTTTTACGATAATTTGTGAAAATTAATTGTGCCATTATATAAATAAATTTATTATAACAAATGTTTATTGAAAAATAATATATATATTTTTCTTGTTCATATACACATGTATGTCATTGTTATATCTTCCGCCTTCCTATCTTCAGCATTACATGAAAAATATAAACCCCCCATTTGAGAATAATTAATGAGTAATTATAATTATATATAAAAACGTGCGGCAAAATGAAGCAGTTTAATATCACGTGATATTATACTTATATATATAAATATATATATATATATATATATATATATATGTGTGTGTGTGTGTGTGTGTGTGTGTGTTACTATCGTAATTTTATAAAGCTATTAAATAGTGACAGAATTATTATTATGTCATCGCAAAAAGAGAAAAAAGGAATCCTTGATACAAAGTATATTATTTTATATTTTTGAGAGCTATTTAATTGATTTAAAAATAGAATGTTCTTTGTAATCACAAATAGTCATATGCTTTACTAATAAATAAGTTTGTGTAAAGTATATTTTATCCTTAAGATATATCCTTGCTTTAAAATCATTATATGGTAAAACAGTGATAAATACGTTTTAATACTTGTACATATAGAGAAAAAATACTTATTATTATAATATATACTTACGATTACGAATAAGATTAACACATAATATATATATATTACATTGGTATGATACATATATATTATTTTAATTTTAAACAAAATTTACGAATTTTGAACTCGTGTAACTTGAAATTTCAGGAAATCAGTTTTCTGATATTGATGTAATTTGATCGAAATTGGCTGATTCTCGATGTCAATTTCGATGTCGATGAGTTTTCGATGAATCGACGTTGAATCAACATCGATTCGACATAAGCATTTTCATGTCTTGCGGGTAAAGTTTCGTTAGCATTTTATTTGGTACGTAATGCGTATTTTCAAATTTACAGAAATAGCGACCAATTTCGAAATTATCGATCCATTTCGGCGCTGCTAAAGTGAGTTTATTTAAAATTTAAAAATGCAAATAAGAAACAATGTACGAAAAGTAAAATAAATATAATTAACAAATTAATAAATAAATTATAAAAAAAAATAAAATGTTCGTAGAATAAACAAATATATAAATTTCAATAAAACACGTTCAATATGATACCTATATAATATATTCATACCTTCATTTACGAAACATATTTTATTATTATCGTTAAGAATAATAATTTGTTTGCTGCTCTGTAAATTGATAATTGTTACAATGATTCAACGGCAAGAAGTCTATTTGTATTGAACAATATAGCAATCTGTCGTTATGTAGATCAGGTGTCAAAATTTCATAACGTCTGTCTGTATGACAATCCCATGCGATTATTGGTAAATTATATATAATTATAACTCATATGTATATAGCTATACGTGCAAAGAGAAAAAAAAGAGAATTTTTTTATTACTATTATAATATATATTTTAATATATGCAGTGTGTATAGTGCAAACATACTTCAACGCCACTTTCATCAAATGAATAAATTTTATTACGCTGCATAATCTGAGAAATGTTGTGGTCTGTCAAATCTACAACTCTTAGCATTATCTCGTTTCGCAGTTCATATGATATTTGACCAAAGCTTTCGCATGGTAAAGAATCGCCACAATATAAATGCTGCAACTTTCTCCGATGCAGTAGTTTATTGACATGACAATTTGGAAATTTCTTAAAAATTAAACTATAACATCTTTCATTTTCTGGATTATCCGTGCCACTGCAAAGCAAAAGAATTATTTATCTATTATGCGCACTTGTGTATGTAGAAATACCTTTTCAAAGTTTTTGATATCTCCAAATTGAATTTTATATTATTTACTATCTTGATTCCCAATATATATTGAGGGGTAGTTTTGTTAGATCATCCAATTTTATAATGTCGGAACGTATACCAAGTCTTCTTGCCACGTTGTGATATATTATTAATAAAATAATGTCTTGTCCATATTTACTTTTTAATACCTATGCCAGAAATTGCAAAAAATTAATGAAAGAATGACAGAATTTTTAATATATAAACAATCAAATGGCCATGCTCACAGTACAATTTTCTTTTTCTGACGCCATATACAGGTATAGTTATAATATACATTATAAATATAATTTACATTATCTATACACATGTATTCCAGATTTGTATCGTTCACTTTGCATGGTCAGAAATTTAATTTGCCAAATATGTTTTCGTCGAATGCATCGATAATCTGAATTCCTTCCGCTTTGTTCCAGTGATTATCATTTATATTATTGTTTTTCCAATAAGAAAAAGTTTCAGCGGACGTCGAAAATATCGAATGATCTGGATGTTTTTTTTCAGATAATTTTGTACTTCCAGTGCGATATTATCCAAAGATTCTATTACGTACGCGTAAGTTACATCCTTTTGGATTTGTAAAGTTTGTGCTACATTAAAGGCAATCCATTCGAAAAGCTTCTCTTTAAATGGTAAAGTATAAAATTTGTGCAAGCTTAATTTTAAATTAGAATTTCTTATAGAGTTAAATAATTTCTCGTGATAATATCTTACGGTTAAATCGCAACCAATTCTTCTGAAAAATTTACATATTAAAACTGTGCAAAAACATAATCTATATAGATGTTAGCACTATGAGATATATGAAAAATCCTACCGTGGAGAATGTGTACGCAAGCTTTTAAGCTCATCGTTGTAAAAAGAAAATATGGAGAATCTTCGAGCACAATACATAAATTCTTCATAATTAATCTGTCCATGATGGGAAGGAAATATATGTCCGGATTGCACACAATTATCGATTGATTCATTGTGATAATGCATATATTTCATTTGAGACACGTATTTGCGTAATTGTCTCGTATAATTGATACCCAATTCTATATAGTTCGTAATTTGTTTCTTAGATTTGTATTCTTCATGATCTTTAGTTTCAGACAATATGTCACAATATTCTTTTAAAGAAGGCCATCTAAAATTAAAACAAAAAATGATTTAATAAAGTTTTTAAATAATATTTTGAGTTCTATTGCAGTATCATTAATCAAAATTCAGAGCAATATATTTTTTAAATAATTATAATTTTTTATTTGATTCTTAAATATTTTATTTGTTTAGGATACTTTACAAATTATTCAATTAATTGATATATTTTTATAATATCACAATTATAAAAAGTATTTTTTTTATTTATATTTTATCATATTATACACTTGTATGCTATTTTTCTTATTTCTAATTATATTATATTACATTTATTCATCACGTTTTAAAAATGAGCATAAAGACTGAGTATGCATGTGTATTAACAAAATGTTTCAATTAACGAAAAAAATATTTCATTATATAATGTAATTATAAAAATTATGTTACGTGTAAGGAGCTAAAATGGACAATTAAACGAAGTATTTTGAATATTTAACTATACGCATTCATTCAATTTTCTGCGTTTTGTATCTCATTAATGCGTTTTTTACGCGTTCGTTTTTATTAGATGTGTCAACTAAAAATACTATTTATGGCGATATTTTTTGAATATACAAAATCATTTAGTTGTTTTATATAATAAAAAGAATCGATTCACAAGTCCGACGAAGAAGTAAAGCGGGCGATACTTGACTGTTTTTATGTTCTAGAAAAAACTTTTTTCTAGTAATATCCAGACAGTTTTTAAACACTGGAACGTTTTTATTAAACGCTATGGGGATTATTTACAGTTAGAAAAATAAACTAAAAGTGTGTACTTTTCGTATTCGAGAAATTATGAGATGTAAAGTATTTAATAAAATAAAAATGCTCTCTAATCGAATCACCTAATATCCATTGTTTAGTAGAGTTTGTTTTTTTTAATAAATTAATGTATATTGATTTTGTTATTAAATTTGAAATGTAAGAATATATATCCCGAAAAGTATCACACTTCATTATTTGATTCCATATATGTTAATAATTACGGATTTGAAATAAAAGAAAAGTAATAAATTGATTGGATGACGATTTTCGAATATATATGATTTATAATTAAAGAAAATCCATATAAAATCGTTACATTTTTACAAAAAAAATATTATATAGACAACACATACGCGCACGTCATATTCAATTTTCTTTAATTGTATTTAATTTTGTTTTTAAACAATAACTGTTAATCAAATGTAACTCACAATGCATATCTAATCGTTGCATTGCCGCAGAACAAAGTACAATATTTACGACTTGATTTATCTTTTTTACAAAATGATTATTTAATAAATTCTTTTTATTCTACTCTATTTCATTATATTATACTTTTTATATTTGTGATTTTTTAAATAAAATTTTCAAATATCACGATGATGCAATGTTCTATTTATTCATGAAAATTTACAAACAACAAGGAATTATCTTTAAGAAAATTTCTTTTTCATATACTTTGTATAGCTGGCTGTGTAACGACATTGTTTGCAGACGCATCGGAAATTAATGATATTCTCGATGGTGATATCCTTGTAGCCGAGAATGGTGAATATCAATTCCTCTAGTAAGGATGTTGTCGTTGCTATTATGACAAAAATTTGTTAAAAATTACTATAAAAAATTATATAAACTGAAGTAATTGCAACAAATTATTTGCAAATAATTTAATATAATAACTGGCTGCTTCTAAAGAGACATTAAATTTTAGACTGCACAACACGTGTTCGATGTTAACACTGTGCACGTTGTCCACTCTTTGTTCATTATTTTTTTCAAATATCTATACTTGAGGTGCTAAAGTAGTCCCTTTTGTCCTGCATTGTCATGTGATGTGCCATACGTAGAAAAGAGAAACAAAATAGTGTCCGGTAACTAACAAACCAATGATTAAGGGCGGATTCTCTGACCAATTTGGAGACGATTTTTCTTTAGCAAAAATGTTGAGAAGTCCATAATTTTCGAGTTATAAGCGATTGAAAAAAATGGATTTTTTTTTAAACTAAACGTTGGAGTTAAAAGTTTAACATAATTACATTCTTCAGTTAATTTCAGGTAGAGTTTACTATAATAAAATTTTAAGTTGAGGCTTAGTTACAAAGATTAATGACAAATATTGGAAAGTTGTAAAAAATGATGACCTTTTTCGACATTTTTGCTGAAGAAAAATTGTTCCCAAATTGATCAAAGAATTCACTTGTAATCGTTGGTCCGTTAGTTACCGGACACCCTGTATATTGTTGGAAACTCTATTGTGCCATTTTCATTCTAGAATGAGCCTATCAGACAAAAGAAGACAGAAAATCACAGAGAACAGTATTAAATTAACGCGTAAAAGTGCGTAGCAAATATAAAAATAAATCATCTTTTAAATTATGCATCTCTTTAAAGCTTGCACGAAGTAATACATTAATAATTTTAAGAGATGTTAAATTTTTCAAACAAAATATACTTATTTTTATTTTATATATTATTTACAAAAGTACCATTTTCCTATTTTGAGAATTTTCTTTTTTATGTATTCCCTGCTAACCTTTTTTCGTGTTAATTTAATATTATTCTGTAATTCTCTGTCTTCTTCTGTCTTAAAAGTTCATTGTAAAATAAAAATGGAACAATAGTATTTCCAACGATACATTTTTTTTCTTTTTCCTTTTTTCTTATGGTATGCATTACGTGACAACGTGCACGACGGGTGGAAGCGTTCTTTAGGTTCACAGGTAGATGGTTCAGAGAAGAGTGGACAAAGCATGAACAACGTTCGTAGCATTCACATCGAACACGTGTTATGCGAATTGAAATTTTTAATAATTATACGCGAATAATTTGTTGCAATTACTTCGATTTATATAATTTTCTGTAGTGCTCTTTCTCGAATTCTTGTCATAATGGCACCGATAACATCCTTACCAGAAGAATTGATACCCATCATTCTCGGTTACAAGGATATCACCATCGAGGATATCATTAATTTCCGATGCGTCTGCAAACAATTTCGTTATGCAGCTAGCTATTCAAATTATATGGAAATGAAATTTTCTCAAAGGTAATTTTTTGTTGTTTGTATATTTTACATGCGTAGATCAAACATTGCTTCATCAATTTTGTATATTTGAAAGTTTTATCTTAAAAATTACAAGTATAAAGAATACAATAAAATACAGAGTAGAATAAAACAGAATATATTAAATAATCATTTTCTAAAAAGGCAATTCAAGTCAATTCTCGTAAATATTGTACCTTTTTTTTGCGACCATGTGACAATTAGATATGTGTCTCGATTTGCATTGTAAGGTACATTTACTTAACAATTATTGTTCAAATCAAAATATGTATGTGTTATCTATATGGTATAATTGTTTTGTAGAAATATAACGATTTTCTATAATTATGCATTTTTTATAATTTTGGATTATATACATTCGAAAATTGTCGTCCAATCTATTTATTACTTTTCTTTCATTTCCAATCCGTAATCATTAACAAATGGAATCAAATAATAAAGTGTGATAATTTTCGGGATATTTAATAGATTTTCAGGATATTTAAAATATATTTTGATATATTTAAAATTTAATAAGAAAATCAATAGACATTTATTAAAACAAATAGTTAAAAAGATTCTAATGAACAATGGCTATTAAGTAAGTTCACTAAAAAAATTCTTATTTTATTAAATACTATTCATCTCATAATTTTTTGGATACAAAAGTACACACTTTTAGATTATTTTTTTAATTGTAAATAGTCCCCATTGCGTTTAATAAAAACGTTCCAGTGTTTTGGAAGTGTCAGTATATTTCTAGAAAAATTATATACCTAAGAACATAAAGACACTCATGTAATGCCTGCTTTACCTCTTCGTCGGACTCGGGGATAGAATTTTTATTATATAATACAATTGGATGATTTTGTATATTCAAGACATAAGGCGATAATAATTATTTAAGGTTTTTAGTTGACACATTTAATAAAAACAAACGCGTAACAAACGCTTTAATGAGAGACAAGACGCAGAAATTGGAATTAACGCGTATAGTTAAATATTCAAAATTTATGCTTTACCATAATTCTTAACTTCTTACACGTAACATAATTTTTATAAATACATTATATAATAAAATAAAATTTTTAAGTAATTAAAGAATTTTATTAAAAACACATGCAAACGGTGGTTTTCCGTCCATTTTCATAACGTAATGAATAAATGTAATATAATATAATTAGAAATTAGAAATATAGCATACAAGAGTATAATATGATGAAATATAAATAAAAAAGAATACTTTTTATAATTGTGATATTATAAAAATATATCAATTAATTAAATAATTTGTAAAGTATCCTAAACAAATAAAATATTTAAGAATCAAATAAAAAATTATAATTATTTAAAAAATATATTGCTCTGAATTTTGATTAATGATACTGCAATAGAACTCAAAAGATTATTTAAAAACTTTATTAAATCATTTTTGTTTTAATTTTAGATGGCCTTCTTTAAAAGAATATTGTGACATATTGTCTGAAACTAAAGATCATGAAGAATACAAATCTAAGAAACAAATTACGAACTATATAGAATTGGGTATCAATTATACGAGACAATTACGAAAATACGTGTCTCAAATGAAATATATGCATTATCACAATGAATCAATCGATAATTGTGTGCAATTCGGACATATATTTCCTTCCCATCTTGAACAGGTTAATTATGAAGAATTTATGTATTGTGCTCGAAGATTCTCCATATTTTCTTTTTACAACGATGAGCTTAAAAGCTTGCTTACACATTCTCCACGGTAGGATTCTTAATATATCTTATAGTGCTAACATCTTTATAGATTATGTTTTTGCACAGTTTTAATATGAAAATTTTTCAGAAGAACTGGTTGCGATTTAACCGAAAGATACTATCACGAGAAACTATTTACGCCCATAAGGAAATCTGATATACAAATAAGCTTGCTCAATTTTATTACTTTACCTGACAGAGCGCAGCTTATGGAATGGATTGCCTTTAATGTAGCACAAACTTTACAAATCCAAAAGGATGTAACGTACGCTTACGTAGTAGAATCTTTGGATAATATCGCATTAGAGGTACAAAATTATCTGAAAAAAGAGCATCCAGATCATTCGATATTTTCGACGCCCGCTGAAACTTTTTCTTATTGGAAAAACAATAATATAGGCGATAATCACTGGAACGAAGCGGAAGGAATTCAGATTATCGATGCACTCGATGAATACATATTTGGCAAATTAAATTTCCGACCGTGCAAAGTGAACGATACAAATCTGGAATACATGTGTATAGATAATGTAAATTATATAATGTATAAAAACGTAGATATTTGAGAATCGCCAGACAGAATTTAAAAAAAGTAAGAATCTTCTCTCAATCGTACTGGCAAATATTATTTATTCAATCACAACGTTTCGACTCTTCTTTGAGTCCTTATCAAGTGATTTGTAAAAATAAAAATAAAATTATAATTTTAAGATGTCAAAACGAACAATCGAGTAATGAGCGAAATATTGTTGATAAGTCTCTTTTCATTTCAGTATCTAATGTTAATAGCTTAGGCGAAATCGATCGAATTTTTAAAAATATCGGATTTAATGTTGTTTATAATATTTCTTAAAAACCGAATCATTTAATTACACTCGGCAAGGATAGACTGCCTACAGATAAAAAGACTGAAGTAGTTTACAAAATTAATTGTAATGATTGCAACGCGTCATACATCGAACAAACAAAGAGACATCTGTGTACACGTGTAAAGGAACATTTCAGCAACATCAAAATACATTCGAGTATTTTATCAGTTATCAGCAAACATAACATTGAATTCGATCACGATTTTGACTGGACTTCGCCTGTTATTTTGCACAGTAAAAAATACGTAAGAAAAAGAGAAATCGCTGAAATATTTTTTATTAAGAAAAATTATAACGCTATTAATTTACAAAAGGATATCGACAATCTAAGTAATATCTACGACAAAATAGTAAAGGTCGTTTAGTCTCCAATAACTCGTCTAAGAGTCTTGACGTGTTGACAAACCGACACTATGTTCGTTTTGACATCTTAAAATTATAATTTTTTTTTATTTCTACAAATCACTTGATAAAGACTCAAAGAAGGATCGAAACGTTGTAATTGAATAAATAATATTTGCCAGTACGGTCGAGAGAAAAATCTTACTTTTTTTATATAATGTATATTATAACTATATGTGGCGTCAGAAGAAGAAAATCGTACTGTGAGCATGGCCTTTTTTTGTTTATATATTAAAAATACTGTCATTCTCTCATTAATTTATTGCAATTTCTGGCATAGGTACTAAAAAGTAGATATGGACAAGAAATTATTCTATTAATAATATATCACAGCGTGGCAAGAAGACTTGGTCTACGTTCCGACGTTATGGGATTCCGTGATCGATTAGAATTATTTTACTGTATATATTGGAAATCTAGATAGTAAGTAATATAAAATTTAATTTGGAATTATTGAAATCTTTTAAAAGATATTTCTACATATACACAGGTGTACATAATAAATAAATAATTTTTTTGTTTTGCAGTGGAATAAATAATTCAAAAAATGAAAGATGTTTTAGTTTAATTTTTGAGAAACTCCCGGATTGTCGTGTCAATAAACCATTGTATCGGAAGAAGTTGCAGCATTTCTATTGTGTTGATTCTATACCATGCGAAAGCTTTGGTCGAATATTACCATGTGAACTGCGAAACAAGATACTGCTAAGAGTTGCGGATTTGACATACCACTATAACAACATTTCTCAGATTATGCAGCGTAGTAGGATTTATTCATTTAATACAAGTAACTTTGAAGTATGTACGCACTATACACACCGCATATATTAAAATGTATTATAATAGTAATAAAATATTCTCTCTCCTTTCTTTTTGACACGTACAGCTATATACATATGAGTTATAATTATTTATAATTTAACAATAAGGGTAATTAAATATGCTATAAATATATATTTAAGAATTAAATGGCAAGAATTATAAATCTAAGTATAACATTATATTTTTAGGTCAAAAAACTTTGTTTAAAAAAAACAGGGCAATTTATTAGAACAAAGAACGTAAAATTTGCGGTAGGAATGATCGTAACACATCGTGGTGATTACAATAATTGCGACGGCGTCATAATCGGATGGGATCGTCATACAGACAGACGTTATGAAATTGTGACATCTAATGTAATTAGAGGCAGATGGCTTAGAATAAATTATCCAATACAAATAGACTTCTTGCCGTTGAATCATTGTAACAATTATCAATTTACTGAGCAGCAAACAAATTATATTATTCTTACCAATAATAATAAAATATGTTACGTAAATGAAGGTATGAATACATTATATATCATATTGAACGTCTTTTATTGAAAATTATATATTTTTTTATTCTACAAACATTTTATTTCTTTTTATTATTCGATTTTTTTTTATTTTACAGTTATATAATACGTTTTTATTTATTTATTTGTTTATTATTCATTTTACTTTTCGTACATTGCTTCTTATTTGCATTTTTTAATTTTAGGTAATCTCACTTTAGCAGCGCCGAAATGGATCGATAATTCCGAAATTGGTCGCTATTTTTGTAGATTCGAAAATACGCATTACGTACCAAATGAAATGCTAACGAAACTTTACCCGGAAGACTTTGATGTAATTACATGGAGGACAAAATTTGCAAATTAATATTATGAATAACATTATGCAATATTTGGAAGAAAAGTTTTAAGAAATTTTATACTTTAAGACTAAATATTATATAGTGTAAACTATAGCGTAACTTCTGTTATCTTATATAATAGCTTTATAAAATTACGCTAATTTACTTTTTTTATGTACTATAGAGCAAGAAAAGCGTGCGTTACGCATGCGCCATTTCTCAATTTTATATTAACTTTTACTCTCTTTAATACATTAGAACTTGTCAAAAATACAATTTACCTATTACATAAGTTTTATTTTTCTAGTATTAATTTTATTTTTCCAAATATTGGTTTTATTTTTCTTAATATTAATTTTATTTTTCCTAATATTAATATTATAATTCTAATATTAGTTTTATTTATGAAAAATTATTTTTTTGTTCTGATTCAGGGTCTAAATAATAATAAGTAATAGTAATAATAATAATAATAATAATAATAAGTATGGAGAGGAGCAAGGGGAACAAGGAGTCCCACATAACCCGCACCTCTACCCGGGGGTGCGTGGTACCATGACGGTTTCCCCAGCGTAAAAAAAAAAAAAAAAAAAAAAAAAAAGGATGGCCGGAGAGGTGGAAAGAAGGATAATAGTGCCACTGTTAAAAAAAGGGAACGGGGAATAGGGTGGAAAACTACAGAGGGGTGACATTGATGCCAACGTTATATAAAATATACGTGAGGATTTTAACTGAAAGGTTAAAGGAGGAAATGGAGAAGGAGAATATGATAACCGGAGAGTCAAACAGGTTTTAGGAAGGAATATAACATATATTACATTGTAGTTATATTGTAATTATATACCAAATAGCACATTGATGTATTGATAAGTTAGTGCTATATTGGGATATAATGACAATATAACTACAATGTAATATTTGTAATATTAAAAATGTCACATCTATGAGTGAAAAATTATAACTAACATATACGTTACATGTAACATGCTTGAGTATATAACATTTATATACTGTGTTTGCTGGGTGGTGAATAAAAAAGTGAATAAGAAGGGAGGTAAGGTAGTAGCGGCCTTCATGGATCTGAAGGCGGCGTTTGACTCAGTGGATAGGGAGGTGTTAATGGAGGCAATGAGAAAGAATGGGGTAAGAGAAGGATTAAAAAGTAGGATAGAAGAGGTGTACAGGGAAACGAGGAGTAAAGTAAGAGTGGGAAAGAGAAGGGAGAAAACTTCTAGACGGCAAGGGGTTGTGAGGCAAGGTTGCCTAATGAGCCCACACTTATTTAACTTGTTGATAGCGGATATAGAGGAAGTGCTGAGAAAAGGAGGTTGGGAAGGTGAAACTGGGAGAGGAAAAAGTACACTGCTTGGCATATGCAGATAACATGGTACTGTTGGCGGAGGATGAGGAAGGGATGATACATATGTTAGGGAAAATGGAAAATTATATGGATAAGAAAAGGTTAGAGGTGAATGTGGATAAGACAAAAGCAATGAGGTTTAAAAAGGGAGGAGAAAGAATGAAGAAAGTGGAGTGGTAGTGGAAAGGGAAAAGATTAGAGGAAGTGAAAGAATTCACGTATTTAGGATATAAGCTGCAAAGAAATGGAGGACAGGAGGCACAGGTAAAGGACAGAGTATAAGGAAAGCAGGAGCGATGATAAGACAGGTCCCAGCTAGCAAAATGATACAAACTTTGCACAAAGATTGCGGTAAACTCGAGCAGGCCTTTGTAGCAAAATTGCGACAAGGTGTGTCCGCATTAAGCTGAGTTTTTGCTGGCAAGCATCATATAACGAAAAGTTTTGCCGTTAATTTGTTCGAAATATTTAAACAAGACGAAGCAAGGCAAATGTTTGCCAGAAAATTGTTGTTAAAATTAAAGCAAACTTTGCCGCAAAGCTTTAACGAAACGTGATTTTATCACTCTTGGCTAGCTGGGGTGTGAGGAATGGGGAAGAGAAGATTTGCAGGAGACTGGATGTAAAGAGTATGGCTAATGGAAAGGTTGGTGAGAACGGTGTTGGAATATGAGGTGGAAATATGGGGATGGAAGGAGAGAAGAGAGGTAGAGGCAATGCAAGAAAGATGGATTAGGTGGACGTTAGGAGTGGACTGGTGTACGCCGGGGTATATGGTAAGAGAACAGATAGGAAAGGACAAATTTAGGATAATGGCAAAAAGAAGAGCGGTAGGGTATAAGAAGAAATTGGAAGAAGAAAGGGGAGGAAGTTCAGCGAGGAAATGCTATGAGGATATGAAAGAAAGGGTAAGAAGAGGAAAGGAAAGAACGGTTTGGGAGGAAGAGAGGGCAAAATTCTGGGAAGAAAGAGAAATATAAGAGAAGAGATGGAGGAAAAAAAAGGAAGGGGAGTGGAAGTATACGAGGGATGGGAGCAGAAACACAGAGAAATGCAGAAGGAGGAAAGATGGGAGGGAATAAGAGAGTCGAGATATAATAGATGGTATGAAGAATGGAAGGAGAAGGGTTTACCGAAATATCTGAGAAAGGGATGGAGGGAAAGTAGATGGAAAAGGATAGTGAGGTTTAGAATGAATAATGAGATAAGAAGGACGAGATACTGGGAAGAAGAGAGGAAAAGAAGATGTAGGCTATGTGGGATGGAAGATGAAACATGGGAACATGTAATAGGAGAATGTGAAAGAGAAAGGAATAAGGAAATTGGTGGGAAAGAATAAATAAAATACTGCAGAAAGGAGAAGAAGGAGAAGGATGGATGAGAGAATTAGAGAAAAAGAAAGAGAAGGGAGAACAGGAAGAGAGAGAAGGAGGGAGGGGGAAGAGGAGGAAGGAAATATGAGAATGAGTGGAAGTATGAGTGAGGTGGTGGAGAATGTATGGGAAACTGGAAGCCGAAGCAAAGCGATAGTTAGGGACGACTCTTTCTCTCTCTTAATTAGTTAGATAGGTAGATTAAAGTAGAATTAAGATAGTTGTAAGTTAGATGTAAGAGTACATGTAAAAGTAGTTTGTAAGATACTAATGTAAGAGGAATGTAAAGCTTAGGTACGCTCCTTAAAAGCGCCTTTCATCCCTAAGGGGAAAAATAATGAATGAAAAAATTATAATAAGTAATAGATCGCCGGGAACGACTACTGTGTCTTGAATTTGCAAACTCATTTGTTTTGCTATTACATGTTCGATAACTCGTCTTGGACTAAATTCCATTTCAGATAAGAGTACAGAATGCAAAGAAAACGTAGGCAAAAGTGCGAGCTCGACGAATAATAAACTATCTCTTAGATTTTTAGATATACACGTCTTAACTTGTTTATTAATGGCAGTAATAGGTATTTTGTATCAACGAGTTGTTGGTTTTCAGCCATTATAGTTTAGCCTGCAGCTGTATTTCGGAGCTTCCCTCTTTTTCAATGCTGTATAATGATATATTAACGACTACATTCAATAATATAAACAATAAAATTTTGTTTTCAGTTTCAAAATACATATCTAATATACATGAATTTATAAAAAAATTAATTGACAAAATCTACAGCAGTTAAGTATACGTATATAATAAAATATTGTCTATACTATTATTTTATCCTGCTATTTATATACAATTTTAAAAGGTTAAAATAAAGCGATACAAAAGCGATTTAGATAATTTTTAATAATTAGATTTAATTTTTATTTTTCAATATATAAGACATTTTCAAAATATCGACAATAAGAATATTATACATTATTTATACATACTACATACTTGATATATTTTTTGTGTAGAAATTGTGGCAAAGTTTTTCTCTGATTTTCAAAAAGGTAAGTTTATTTCCAAGATATTTCTAGTTTCTATTGCTTATTTTACAACTGTCAAATTGTTAATCTGTGCAATAACAGTTGCTTGATGCTATAATTTTAATTTGTCGAATTTCAATTATTATACACAATTTTAATTCGCCGAGTTTCGATTA